ACTGTTATCTTTTTATTAAAAATGAAGACATATCATGTACTGCATTATTTTTTTAATTTGAAGTTATTAAGGATATTGAATTATAATAATTAAAAATAAAAATTTAATATTTTATTAATAAACCATATCACTGTTTGCTTAAAAAGATTTTCTCTTATGAATTGTCAAACTTCAATTAAAAAAAAAAAGGCAAAAGTTGAATTACCAAGGCCACCTTGGATTAATTTATTTCATATACAGAAAGAGGTTTGAAGGTCTAAAAGAATGTTCTAGCTATGGATTTGCAAGTACATTTATATCCCGATGCGTGGTTCATGACTGAAGACTTTGACTTTGCCTTTTCCTCCCTGTTCTTTTCCTTTCTTGCTGCCATTTTAGATCACCCTCAAAAGTCTGAGAGACAAAGAGTCTAAATTTTTTTGTTTTGTAATATGACTAAATTAAATAAATCTCTTCTTCTTCAAACCCTAATTACAAGATTCAAATTTTGAAGCACGAGTTTGGATGACTAGTTGTAATTTTAGATTTCTTCTTTTTTATTCCCTTTGATTAAAACTTCAATCTTATAATTTTCTCAAATATTTAGGGTTTGGATGACAACTTACAATTTTAAATTTTTTCTTATTTTTTCTTTGATTACAACATTAATCTTATAATTTTCGCAAATATATATGTGATTTAGAATAATTAAATATAATGCCAATGAGGTTTTAGCTTAATGCAAGGGGAGGTCCTAGAACTTTCTAAGTTCAAGTCTCACAATGTACGGATTTGATTGTTTAGTTAAATTATAATTTATTAATTAATTATTTAATAATATAATAATTGATTATATGAATATAATACTTGATAATGAGTTTGATTATAAATGTAATTTAAAAAAAGAATAATTAAATATAATCCTTTTCTCTAATTAAAAAAAACAATAGCAGTAAAATATTCATGTGATGATAAATTATAACTTAGAAATTAAACATTATCACAAATGATATAACCAAGATTTGTTGCTGTCATATTTTCTTTTTTTTTTTTCATTTTTATTTGCTGTCTTAATCAGAAGCAAAGGATTAGATCGACAGTGCAAATCAAGGAGGAATAAGTTGTTAAATTTTGGTTAGTTTTGATGGCCACGTGGTTTCTAATATATTGAAAATTTTTCGTGTAGTTTTAAAAGATTAATAGTTGAACAAACACGTACTAATAATCTTTCGTGCAGTCAATCTAGGATATATATCTTAGTATACAAAAGATTTTTTTACTGGAAAAGAAAAACAAAAGATTTTTACATAGCTAAGTGTTAGGAACGTGACAACTCTAATACATTTGTTAAAAAAAAAAAAAAAAACTAATCAATTAAACAATTCAAATCAACATAAATAAAGCTAAACAATCAATCAACTACACAATAAACAGTAATTTAATATGATTCGATCCAATCGACCTATATTCAAAGTAAAAAAAAAACAAATTTACATCAAATCAAACACTTACAATTAATACATACAAACCATTTTAATTTACTTATAATCTTATGAAATATTCTCAACTTAATCAAACCTATGCCCCTTTATACTTATATTTATGTGAACTATTTCAATCTCATCTAATTCACCCAAACAAAACAACTATTATACTTATATAAATCATCTCAATCTTTTTTAGTCCACTCACAAACATTCAAATATACATATCTATAAAAACATTAATCTATAATAGTCTTATGGGATATTTATCTCATAAAATGTTACATCCCTCTTATATTTTTTCTTATACCTAGCCTTATGGAGATTATATATATTTATAAATATATAAACTTGTATATCAAAAATCCATTTGCTATTAAAATTCTTCTCTTGTAAGTTTTTTTGTCAATCAAATAATATTTAACAAATCTTTTATAAGATTTAAATCACTATTCTCGATAGAAAAAATTAAATTAAATTTCATTTTTACGTCTTAAATTTTAACGTCAAATTTATGCATTGGTGCATATAAAGGTTGGCTAGCTGCTATGCAATGGAATTTAATATCGACGATCATAATAATTCACTCCAAAAAATAAAAGTCTTCTAATTTTTTTGAGTTTCATTTGGATGGTTTTATTAATTGAATCTCTAAAAATTCAATAATAAAACAACATGGTAACGCAATAAAAATTTTCATCCTTACAGACCATTTAAATGAAACATTATTTCAACAAAAAATGACAAAACTCCTCAAGTGCTATGGTTACCGTAATGCTATTACAAATTTGTTTAAAAATTAAATTATTCATTCAAATCCGAAAGCTCATTTAATTTTTGGGAGGGTTTAAGCATATCTTTTAGGTTATTGAACGAATTTAGATAAAAACAAAAAAGACTTGATCAAAAGTTGGACCAAGCGTCGACTCTAATAATTAAGAGCTAAATATAAATTGAATCCAACCCCAGTTAATAATTATTATATTAATATATTTAATATATAATAAAATATTTATTCTTTATATTAATATAATAATATAACAAATAAAAACCAGTGACTAGTATTCGTTCGACTCATAGTCGCCTCTTGTATCACATTGGTATTAAATGGGATGTTTCTTTTATTTGAATAAAGACTGAAGTACCGCACCGCAAATTCCTCCCTCTATCATGCGTATACTCGATCAAACTTGGTCAACACGATCCATCCATTCACAGTTTTACTTGTCATACTCTCATTTCATCCCGTCGTTATAAGGCAGGTAACTTTCGTTCATTTAATAAATCTCATATTGTCAATTATTTAGATTTCAACTCAAAACTTTCATAAACTTGAATCTTCAATTGTTGGGATGTCTTGCTTGTCGTTTGATTTTTTAAAAGGCTCAAGCATGAGCACTTGGTAAAAAAATAAGAAAAAACATAAAGAAAGTGGATAAATAAGAAGATTTATATATGAACTGAATCAGCCACAATCTTTTCCCCCAGAGATTTGTTTCATTACTAGCTAGCTATTGCATAATTCATATTTGACTCTTTTTTTTTCTTTTTTGAAATTTGACTTTATTTGTGATGACCATATATGCCTAAGTAAGTAACTAGATATAATGATGTTTAATTTGTTAAGAAAATGTGAGAGATGTTGGTTTTCTGATTCCTCTTTCAATATTTCGTTTTATCAAATAATTATGGCTGCCAATAGTCTTGTAATTTATTGATAGATTGTTGTATTTTTAATTTCAATAGTTAAAGTTCTATTCTCAATAATCTCGAATACAAAGAAAAAAAAATCATTATGGCTCCCAGTCTTAATTAATTTAAGTATTTTAAATTTAAAATAACTTGAATAATTTATACGTATATATGTGTATGCATGCAAATGTATGATTTAAAAAATTAAAAAAAAAACTAATTAATATTATATGATCAATTTGTTATTTCAAGATTCCAATATGTTCCATCGAACTTAAAGTGGTCATATATTAATTTTGACTAAAAATGTGGAATCTTTGGTCAACAAAACAAGGTGTACAAGAAAATTCATTAAAACCATTTTTTTGACTAAAAGTCTTCGGTTCGTAGTCTTTAGTTGGTTGATTCTTGCACCAAAAAATGACAAACTGGCGCAATCTATGGGTATAGCCATTTCGAAAGAGCATAGATATGGATCTGGTCGTCATGTTTACTAGGTTGCCTTTTTACCATTGCCACTACTTCCACATCGTAATTAGTCTTTCTAAAAAGAAAGTTTGATTTCATTTGACTCGAAGGCTCAAATATGGGAATCAAACTTTGATTTACTTTGACTCTTCGGGTTTTGAGTAACAAGATTTTCAAGTGAATAGAGTTGTGTCAAAGATGAATTGGAGGGGCTTTCATTTACTTTACATGAGAAAAAAAAATGTAATCATGAATTTATATCAAGTAATACATTCAATTATCAAAATTAAACTACCTTATTTCAAATTCTTGAAATCTTTGTTAATGAGTATACAAAATTATAACATTATATATAAATATATATATAACAAATATATAATTGAACTTTTGGTTCAGTAGTAAGTGTTCATGTTATCTTGGACTATAAAATGAGAAAAAACCTTCGCACATCTCATAAATCCCATCTCCTTTATTTCAAGACTCGAATCCTAGATTTTTAAGATGAAATTTTAAGTTTTAATCACTTGCATCCTCTTTTATCTTAAAATGACCATGTTAATTTAACTGTACGTGTGAGTATATATATTATATATATACCATGATATTTCATTATAAAATATTGGTGTTCATTAAAAAAAAATTCAGTTCTTGAAAACTTTGCACAAGATATTTAATGGCACTATGAATGATAATTTCTTGTATAGAGTCATGCAATTTTTCATTTTTGTTTCTTATTTAGTATAAACTTATTTCAACAAAAAAAAAGTATATATAGAAAGAGACTTATTGCTTTAATTAATGATTCTTTTTATTGTTAGACCAAAAGCCTTCAATCAATTAAGTATTCAAGTCAACAATAGCAAAATTAAATGATTAATCAATCATATAAAAAATAATAATTTAATATAATTCAATATGATCAGCCTACACCTACAAATGAGAAAAAAGATTTATTAGCCTACATTCATGTGTCATACTTATATAAACCTTCTTGTTTTCCTCTAACCCACTTAAATATACACATTCATAAAAACTTTCACTCAAACATATACAACCATAAAAATCTTCTCGATTTCCTCTAATCTTATGTAATGTTTATCCCAATAAAATCTTATATCTTTGTTACATCTTTTTTTTTTCATACTTAAGCACTTCACCTATTATAAGCATAGTAATATGTCTATGAAGAATCTTTTTCTTTCTAAAAATGTTTTTTTAAAATTTTTTTTATTCATTAAATAATATCTAGTCAATTTCAAATAAATCTTTTATGAATTTGAATTACTATTTATGTGTATATAAAAATGAGTTTTTTTATTATATTCATCCAAGAAAAGCCAAAAGGGAAAAAAAAAAAAAAGGAAAAGCGAAGTTTCATTATGTTTTTTTGCACATACAAAGAAATCCAAGAGCAAGAAGGGAACGAGACCTTGGACGTTAATACTCCTAAGGAGGAACAACAAACTGGCCTAAGCCAATTGTGGATGTGTATCGATGTTCTATAGTTTTCAAAATTATCAACTAATACAGTCTCATTAAAATTAATTCAACTGAAACCTATAAATTCATTAAGCATTTACATAAAAAAGGGATCAAGATAAGCAAAATCTACAACCGATTTGAGCTCATCCCAATTTGCATGTGTGAAGAAATCATTATCTGGACAATTTGAAAAGCTTGAAGATGATGCCATTGATGAAGGTTGAGCTATGCTACTTAATTGCTCTCCATGCCATTGACTTCTTCCATTGATGGGATTCACAAATGGCTTCTGATCATAATTTTGAACATTTGGAGAACCGAATGTAATGTAATTTTCATGATTATTGGATTCCACACTGCATGTTTGAGAGCTAGGTGTGGCAGTTGAAGGACGTTTAGCTGGGACTTCTCTCCAATCTGCTGAGTATTTTCTGTGTGATACGTTCCGCTTGAAAATTCGACATATAGTCCATACTTCCTGCAATCCCCAAAAAGTACTAAACATTGATAACTTATTCCCATGAAAAATGCTTGGTTTGATTGATACTTTTGCTACTTGCTTTTAGACAATATGCTTTGTGTTTTTCCAAAAATTATCATTAAAAAAAAATTACCATCATAATTTATTTGAAATGGACAAGTAATTAAAATGTAACATCAGTAATAACAAAATTAATCTATATAATAATAGAATCACGTACTTTTTTATCAACAAAAATAAATATAATTTGTATATGATCCTTCAAAAAGAAAATTTTGCTTTTGTATCCAAACACATTTGTTGCATTTTTTCTTGCTTTTGAAAGTGAAAAAGCAGATAACAAAAACATCAATCAAACGGAAGCTTAACGCGTTTACTTACAGCTTCTTGTGCGATAGATTTGGGATTGGAAAGGCAGGTGTTAGTGTTACTGTCACTGCTGGGAAGGCGAAACTCATGCATCATCCAATCCGTTTTGGTTCCTTTGCCTGCACTTCCACGATAGTATACTAACGTTTTCTTTAGACCAATGCAGGCATGGCCTTCTCCTCCATGTGAATAAACAGGCTTGTCAATGCCGGTAGCTTTCCAAAATCCAGACCCTGTCACTCTGTTGGGTCTGACGCTGTTTCTGTACTTTCTTCCTCGTCTGCAGAAGAAATATGATTCACTATCTCCCACAACGCTAGTTTCTGCTTCATTGATCACGAAATCCATTACTATTAGTCAGAGATCACCCCCTACCACCTTTATTTTTATTTAAAAAAGCTTAATTTCCATATATTATGCAGAAATTTGGGTATGATAAAATGCTGAATTAATAAAGTTGCGTTTCAATTATCAGGTAGGGTGTTTTCTCCCTACTAGAAAAACAAAAATTTTCGTCATGACCTTTAATTTGTTACAAAACAAAAGGCTTGTTATTATTTTTTGGTATAAAGGAGGTAGGAAAAATTACAGATGTTGAGATTTGAATACTAAAACCGTTGGATGAAAATCTTTAAAAATGATTGCATAAATCGATTGAGCTCGGTTCAAAAGCTTATTATTTTCAACTGTATAATGTTTTTACAATACTTATGTTGCCTATTAAAACGAAATACTTCAAATATATTCAAAACCAAAAGGAAGTGAGGGTCTGCAATCTGGAACAAACATTTTTAAGGCGCAGTGGTGAAGTAAGAAAAACAGCTGTTTCATTTTCTCAAAAGATGCTTGATTTAAGCTCCTGGTTAAAACTTTTGAATCTTTCAAAGCAAACCTGAACCCTTTTCCCTTATTGAAAAGCTAGGACATATTTTCAAGCCAAACCAATAATCAAAGAAGATATAGGTATAACATACTTGGGAGATCCCATGGCTCATGTTTGTAGATATCAATCTGTTTGATGAGCTCGATTCTGAGGGGTTTCTTGTCAACTTTTCGTCGAAGATAAAACCCCACAAGCTCTTCATCAGTTGGATGAAATCGAAATCCTGGAAGTGGACCATCTTCATCCTTGTTATCACTATTACCTTGGACTACGTTCATCTTCTTTAATCTTTATCCCCTGCAGCTGGCTATGTGGAGTAAAAGAACCAAAGGTTTTGATTTTTCAATTTCAGTGCGTAGTGCATGAATCATCAATCATACAGGGCATGCTCTGAACATTACCGGACCTTACTTAAATAATGTGTTTTTGGAGTCATGCGATAGCTGGTGGTTCAGGTCAAGTCAAAATTATTGACTCTTTGCCAAAAGAGCCCAATCAGCTTAGAAAGAGTCTTCCTTTCTAGTTTCAAACATCTTTATCATTTCATTTTACAAAAAAAAAAAAAAAAAGAAAAGTTAATTTATTAATTAGTATTATTTTATGAATTTATACTTTATGAATTATTACTGTATAATAAATCTTATACATTATCAATAAACTACAAAATAACAACTTATAAAAAATTAATTGTAAATATATTTCCAGGATTAAGTATATTTTCCTTTTAGGACCTCAAAATTTTAAAATTAATTTTTTAAAAGATATCATTGTACTATTCATTAACATTATATAAAATTTACATATTAATAAAATTAATATCAAATATAAATTCTTATTTTATATACAATAAGACACCCTAGGTTTAAATCCTAAGACTCCAACATAGAAATATGTATCGGACTTCTCATTAAAGAATTAATTATTATGAGAAGAAAATATATGAAAATAAAATTAAAAGGACTATTTCCAATTGTGTAATCCATATCACATGTACAAAAGAGTAAGGTTAAAGTTTAAATTTAGTCCCTATATTATTTCAGTTTTATTGTTTTAATCTTTTTACTTTAATTTTAATAAATTTAATCCTTAAATTTTTATTAAAAATATATTAAAGGATAATTGATAACAACATTAGAATTTTGCAATTAAATTCGGCTAAGTGCTTTTTTTATTGATTTAAACTTTTTTTTTATCTCGTGTGACACATATTAGTATAAAAAAACTTTATTTTTAATAAAAATATTATATTGTTCTCTAGAATTTTAAAGAAACATTAATTATTATTTAATTAAAATAAAATATGATATTTTGTAGATTGATATGTGCCACGCGGCCAAACAATAATCCTTCTCAACATTTCAAGTCATTAAATCTCAGTGATCCAAATTAAAGGCAAAATTTTAATATTGTTATTTATTGTTCTTAAATCAACTTTTAATAAAAGTAGATGGACTAAATTTATTGAAAGTGGGGTAGAAGAACTAATATTTTTGAAAATTGTGATAGTAGAACCAAACCCAAACTTTGACAATGAATTTAAAACTGGGAAATTAATCTCACCAACAACAACATAATTCTTCAAGTTATCTTTCAAACTCAGGAAGGAAATATTTTATATATTCCTTGGTAATGTGGAATGTAACTTAATTGTAAAATTAGTAAAGCTGTCTGAAAACCATACGTAAGTGTTACAACTTGGTGGTGATAAGGTTAGTAATTTTGGGTAATCGAATGTCAAACAAAAGATCTGTTTTTGACCATTCAAAATGCAGTGAAATGAGGAGGCTCCACGCATAGAAAAAGAATTAAAGAAGAAAATTAAGTCATAAGTATGGGACATGAAAAAGTACATGTTATGTTCAAAAATGGCTTAAGGGACCTTTTAAAGGTCATTGTGTCGTTGTTTTCGCATTTAAGGGGCCATTTTGACATTTTGAAAAGAAATTGGAGCAAATCTTTCTGCAATCTTCAATTATGTAGGCTTGGTTTTGAAAAACAATGTTAGATTTTTCTAGGAAATTAATTATTGACTTTTTTTTTTTATATAAAAGATTGTCCGGGAATAAGGAAGAAAATTGTAAATATTAAAATTTGGGCCCCATATGAATGCTACCTCTCAGGGTGATTGAATGAACCGATTAAATCAAATTTTGGATTCATTAATTATTGACTTTATCATCCCTAAATCAAAGCAATATGGTAACATCAAATGAACATGAATATGCACTTTGCACGATCTTGAATTCCAGGGTTGGCCATAACTATCATTGTGATTTTCATTTTGTTTTTAAGGGATGCCAACCATTAGCAGAATGTCTAAAGCATGAAAACAAAATTCACTGTGTTGTCAAATAAAGAATTACTAAACGAAGTAAATATTCTCACTTGTGATCATGAAAGTGCCATGGAACAAAAATGGTAGCATGTCTTATTTCGTCTATTATTTTTAGGTAAATTTTATTTGAAGTCCCTAACAATTTTATTCGAATTTTACTTTAATCTCTAACTTTTAAATTGCTCCGTTAGGTGTATAATCTTTTTAAATGATTTTATTTTGGTCCTTGAGTAAAAAAATTCCATTAACACAAACGTAACATCCACTTTGCATATTACATGGCGCAACACATGCACGGGCCTTCTCATGATATACCACGCGGATATCTTTTTACAATTGCTAATTAAAAAGTTAAAAACGATTAAGAAATTGGTGATTAAAGTGAAATCAAAATAAAATGTTAAAGATCCTAAATGAAATTTATCCATTATTTTTTTTTTTTTAAATTTCTTCCATGATAGTCATTGTTTGATAAATCTGCGTTTGAAAAGAATATTAACCCTTGTAATTAATTTATACATGAATAGAGTGCTTACCAAATGAAAGTGAAAAGCTTCTTCTAGAAGAATAGTGCACCATATTTGACCTTTTATCAGAGGAATAAAATAAATTAAAAAAACATAAACCAAGTTCCCAGATATAAGGGAAAGAATTGTCCAAGTACCGCTGACGAAGTAAGATGCGGCGCCTATAAAATATTTGTCGAGAGACTTGGCTTGCCGGCCATCCTCCATATTTTACTCTGTTGGGGGTTAAATGTCTATGATCACTATTTTAGCTTAGACTAATTAAGTGATGGTTTTTTTTTTTCTTTTAAATTAAGGCTATTAGGCAAGGGTTGTGTACTTGATTTAATGATCAGAAATGCACTTTAAGAAGGTAAAAATAATGATAATATCCGTAAATAATTGTGACAAAGGTTTTTTGTGATTTTACGCACATGAGTTAGTTTTTTTATATAAAAAATTATAATTTAAAAATAAAAGAAAATATTGTAAAAATTAAGAGTCAAATTTTCAATTAATTGGATATTATATTTTAAAAGTGACCAGATAAATTAAGTTTCGAATTCAATTAAATATTTCTTTTCTTAAATGTCATGCTAACATAATTACTATTTTAGCTTAGAGTTTGAGGATTAATTAAGTGATAATTTTTTAAAAATTAAGGCTATTAGGCAAGGGTTATGTACTTGATATAATAGTCTGAACTGCACATTAAGAAGGTAGATTAAGAGCGTAGAATAATGATAGTGTCTGTAAATAATTGTGACAAAGGTTTTTTGTGATTTTACGTTCATGATTTTTTTTTTACAAAAAAATTATAATTTGAGAATAAAAAAATTTATAAGAATTAAAATTTAAATCTTAGATTCATTGGATGTCACATTTTAAAGGTATCTACATGAATTAGTTGAATTGAGTTCAAATTTCATTAAGTATTTCTTTTCTTAAATGTTCCGTTAAGATTTCGTAGGAGTTTTAGGGTATTTATTGCATTAATGTCAAATGTTAAATTGTTTATTAGTTGACTGAGCTTATATCTATCCCATGCCAATTTTTCAAAGGAAAATAATAATAATAAAAATAAGTAAAGTTAGGGATATTTGAGCAGATCATGAGACCAAGCAGTTTGAGGACCCAGCCCTACAGTTAGGCAACTTAATCGTTTTTTATTCACTTTCTCTCTTCTCCATGACCATCAGGCACCAAACTTTTCTTTCTTTTTCCATTTTGGTGTGTTTTTAGTTGAAGTGTTGAACCCAAGGAATCAGCAGAAAAGTGGCTTATTGTCTTCTTCTGCTTCTTCTTCACCTTCATTGTTATTTTCAGAAGAATTTTTTTAAAGCTCATATGAAGTATATGTTAGGTAACAAACTTCCAAATCAAGTCAGTGAAAGTAAAATTAAATAATCGATCAATCACATAAGAGACAATAATTTAATATAATTTGATCTAATCGATATATGTCCACAAATGAAAAAATATATATATTAATTGTAGAGAATTATAAACATACATCAAATCAATCTCACGCAATAATTAATACTCATAAGTCTTCTCAATCTCCTCTAGTTCTATGAAGTATTCTCAACCAAACAAATAAATACCCATATACACCCATGCATCATTCCTATATAGACCTCTCAGTCTCCTTTAGTACACTCATAAACATTCAAATATATACACCCATAAGACATAAATCTTTAGTAGTCTATCTCATAAAATCTTACAACTCTCTTATATCTTTTTCTTATATCTAACCTTATAAAAACTTTACCTATTTATAAACATATAAACTTGCCTATTAAGAATCACTTTTCTCTTAGAATTCTTTTTTTAAGTCTCTTTGTCTATCAAACAATATCTAACTAATCTCAAATAAAATCTATTATGAAATTTGAGTCACTATTCCTAATAGTATATACATACATGCAGTTATACATATACACGCATACATTTAAGTATTTTATTATTATGAAGGAACTAGAATTTTTTTAAGTATATATATATATATATATATATATATAGAGAGAGAGAGAGAGAGAGAGAAATTTTGTGTAATTGAATAATATTAGAAAATGATTGGTTATTTAGGAAGAAAATGTTTCAAAATTTACAAACTTTTAGATATTGTAAACTTAATTATTTTGTAATTACCCAGTACTCATGTCAAAATATTTAAAATTTTAAATTAAATTATTAATTTTAAAATTAAAAAGTGAAAATTAATAAATAATAATTACAATAGCTTTTATGATTTCAATTTATTCTTTAAAAAAACTATCGTTCTAAATATAATAATTACATCTGAATTAGTATTCATCATTGTACCAAAAAATAACAAAAAAAAAAGTGTTCATTTTATTAACTGCTGTGTAGTTTAAATGACTTAAAAGAGAATTTTCATTTGTTCAAAATAAAAAATTTAAAAAAAAATACACAGAGTTGACGTGCAAAGATACAATGGGCAGTATCATACAAAGTTGACGTGCATGCCACTTCATCCAATCTCAAATGATAAAGGTGAAATGAGAGCATTGAGAAAATTTTAAATTCCAGTCATAGTATTTATATTTTTAAAAATATTAAAATATTAAAAAAACTTTGAATTATTTTACTTTTTTA